TAAACGTACATACATACACACACACACACACACACACACACACACACACACACACACACACACACACACACACACACACACACACACACACACACACACACACACACACACACACACACACTAGCACACACACTCGCACACACAATCGCGCACACACATCGCACACACACTCGCACACACACTCGCACACACACTCGCACACACACTCGCACACACACACACACACCCACACACACACACACACACACACACACACACACACACACACACACACACACACACACACACACACACACACACACACACACACACACACACACACACACACACACACACACACACATATATATATATATACACACATACATATATATATATATATATATATATAAATCCTCAAATATATTCCTCAAACAATAACATAAACAAATAAATACAAAAACTACATAATCACATAATTTATCCTAATGATGTTCGAATGATTGTGACAAGTAATGATCTTTAGGAAGTCGCTTAAAGACTGCAATAGATTGTGCATCGCGTATATGCAAAGGTAGGGCATTCCAGAGCTTAATAGACTGGACAGTAAACAATTTATTAAAGAAAGATGTATTGTGAGGTACCCTTAAAATGAATTTTCTTGAGGAGCGTAGAGGTTCCCCTGGAAGCCCAACAAAACTAAACTTCTCCTTTAGATAAGGAGGAGTAGAAGGGTGAAATAAGACACAGTACAAAATAGAAATAATATGCATAATATGAATATGGATTTAATGCGGTTTTCATTAATAGGCAGAATGATTGATGAAGAGGAATATTTATATGCATATCTTTAATACATGTATATGTTGTCAAGATTCAAAAATCACCTGTGCACAGCTGAGGTGGATTACTAGTGCTTATTTACCTATCTGCCTTACAATCAGACAATTTATTAAGTACTGAAACTGTTATTAATTTTTTCAGTTAATTCCATAAAAGACTTCTTGTGTTTCTTGATTGATGGTAGTGATAGAAATCAAAATCAACATGTTAAGCTGTTTGTTTGTTTGTGTTATTATATGTTCAAGTTCATCTTGTTTTTTAACCCCCGACGAAAACAGAGAAGTGTTATATGTTTTTAGTGTGTATCTGTGTCTCTGTCTGTGGCATCATAACTCCTGAACAGATGAACTTGTTTTAATTTTGTTTTTCTCGTTCGATGTGTGCAATTCAAGAACAATTTACTCTTAAAAGCGGGATAGGTCATAGAGGACAAAAGAAGGAATTATAAGAAGATAATTTATGTTATAATATGTAAGATAATTGATGCTTAATTGGTCGTGATTGATGGCCTCTGATTTTACCCTCAACTGCATCGTTCAAGCCAAAGTATTTATGTGGTCTGATATATCTTGTATAAGGTCACATAGTGTTCTGGAATGTCTTGTCAACACAACATTTGTCAAACCACTTTGTTGATTCTTATCAAAGGATTTAAATCAAAATAAAGATCAAAATCTACATGTACTAAAACCATTTGAAAACTTCATGGTATGATGCAGAATTTTAAGCAAGGCTCTGGATTGTATATCAGGGTTCAAAAAATCCGTATTATAAAAAAAACAATATTTTTCATCTATATCAGATAGTATCAAAAATTGGATTTATGTGTGTACTTTAGTTTAATTTAGTTAACGACGGCCTGTTTTTCTTGTTATTATCGGTTATTTTGCGCGTTGGGTATAATGTGATTATTCGAGCCATGAATTTCCCCGAAGAAGTTCAACAGTCCTTTGATGTTGCAAGCAACATCGGGGAGTTATTCCGGCATGCCGAGATATTTAGCCCTCTATGCAGCGACCTCCGGACATGTCAGCAACACCTAGGCCGCTGTTTCCTCCTTCCCCATACACGCCCTGCACAAGTGCATCTGTAACACCAATGGTAAATAAATATTTGTTAAAGGAGTCATTTCCTGTAATAGCACTTGTTACTATCCTGATCTGTGGCTTGTTCAGCCTTATTAGAACCTTGGTTAAACAACTGTTTATTTCAGGTAGGCAGGCCTAGCTTGTCACAGTCCACTAGATTTTTCCAAAGCTGAGTGTGTAGATTAGTGAAGTTTCTACGTACCAGTGAACGAATATTATCAAAGGGGATTGGTATTATTGGTTCCGGCCCTATAGTGGCCAGAGCCGATCCTCTTCCGGCCAGTTCGTCTGCTGCACCGTTGCCTATGGATCTACTGTGTCTCCTGATCTATTGCAGTCACATTGTTGTGTTTACATACCTCATTTAATCGTTTATGGCATTCATATATTAGTCCCGAGTTCACCACATTGCAACTCGGAGCTTGTGACCGCCATAATCTCGGTCAGTATTCTGATGGAGAAGTCTTTTATCTATTGCTGTGGCCGCTTGGATGATATCCATACATTCCGCCTGAAAGACTATGTTATAGGTACGTAGCGGAGAACATATGTGGATGATATATTTTCAGAAAAAGTTCCAGATCCTACTCCTTCATTTGTTTTAGAACCATCCATGAAAACTAAGCTCTTTTGGGCTTAATACCTCCGGATGGCCGGTTCCATTTTATTGTATCTTATACTAATTATGGAATACAATTGAATGGATTGGAATTAATGAATACAAATCTTATCGTACTTGGCTTGAAAGATAGGAATTTTTGAGTAAATTCTATCAATTATACCTGTATGAGGGACTCTGCTTTCTCTGTATGCTGGCCTTATGAGGACGCTCAAAGTCGCTCAGCGAGCTATGGAGAGGGCTATGCTCGGGGTTTCTCTGCGTGATAAACTTAGAAATGAGGATATCCGCAGTAGAACCAGACTGACCGATATAGCCCAATGGATTAGTAAGCTGAAGTGGCAATGGGCCGGCCATATAGCTCGAAGAACCGACAACCGTTGGGGAAGAAGGGTTCTTGAGTGGCAGCCTCGTACTGGTCGAAGTGTAGGGCGACCCTCCACTAGATGGAGTGACGACCTGGTAAGACATGCAGGAAGTCGATGGATGCAGGTGGCTCAGGACCATGCTTTGTGGCATACCTTGGGGGAGGCCTATGTTCAGCAGTAGACTTGTGAAAGGCTGTAATGATGATGATGATGAGGTACTCTACTCTTACTTGAAATATTTAAGAATTTGAGTCTAATGGCAGCTAAAATAGCTTCTTGTTGTATGTGTAGATGAAGCGGGTTTAGCTTCAGCATAGTCTCTAAGGCTGCTGTTGGTGTAGTTCTTATGCAGCCTGTGGAAGCCATACATGCCAGTCTCTTGTAACTCTGAAGCTTCTTTTTAGTGGTGGCTTTATTTGTCCACCATACCAAAGTATGTGATCATGGGCCAATTTACGGTTTTGTACAGCCACATTATAATTTTTGACGTCAGACACCATTGTTTGCCAATCATGTTTCTGCGTTGCCAGAAAATTATACTAGCTTTGTAGAATTTTGTTTACTATGTGTTTATTTCAGTTGAGTTTACAGTCCAAGGTAGAGTACTAAGTATTTTACCTCAGAGGATAACTGCAGTTTTGTGCTGAAAGACTCGACAGGTCATAGTTATTCAGTATTCGTTTTTGTGTGAACATTACTAGAATCATTTTATATAGGTTAACAGTTAAGTCGTATTCCTTGCACAAACTCTCCTCTATACGGAGAGCTGCTCTGGTCAGGTCGTACATTATGCTTGCTGTCTTTTTAGAGACCAGTATTATTAGGCATCTGCATAACGTACTGTGTAGAAGTGATTGGCATTTAATGTGCTGATGAGTTCATTAATGACCATATTCCACAGGAGAGGTGAAAGAACCCCACCCTGCGGGCAGCCTTTCTTAATCTGAAATATTTGAGAATCACCAGAAATCTTTATTGTTTGCGTAATGAGCATGTTTACTATCCAGTCGATCAGTGTCGGTTAAACTTTATGTCTATTTAGTGCATCTTCGAAGTTCGTTCTGTCAAAAGCACTTTCTATGTCTATGAAAGGAATCTTTGTTATTACGTGTACGTATTTTACGTGTTTTAGCAAATCTGTAAATGACCTAGGATTACACATTGATCAAAATCTTTATTGGTCCCTACATATTAAAGAGTCCAGTAGAAAGATGTTTGCGGCATCATCTTCTTTACGACGTTTGCGTAACTCATTACCCTCTCCTACAAGAATTTTACTGGCACAGTCCTTGTTACTCCCTATCCTTGATTATGCTGATGTATGCTATTCTAATCTTACTGAGGATCAATTAAATAAACTTGAGCGTCTTCAGAATTTCGCTATTAGGTTCATATTTGGCCTCCGCAAATATGATCATGTTTCCCAGTTTCGTACTAAGCTCAAGTGGCTTCCTATCAGACTTCGTCGGAATGCTCACATTCTATCTCAGCTGTTTGATGTTTGATCATAAAACACCGATGTATCTAAAAGAAAAATTTGAGTTCGCGGGTGCAGATAAAGATCATTCCAGATTATCCGATAAATTTCTACGTGGTAGAGCCATGCTGCAGTTATATTAGTAGTATAGTTGTAGCACGAATGGGTCGGCTCGACCGGGGAAGGACCACGCTCTCACAGAATACCAGCGTGAAATAGTAGCTTAATGCTGCTGTATTTCGTATGGTGAGTGTAGAGAACCGGAGACCCTTTTTACTGAAAATGAGGCATTCCATCTCAGTCCTCACGGGTGACAACGCATCTGCATTTTGATTTGTAATGGAAGATAGATGTAGATGTCTATGGGCCGCAGCAACCACTTACCATCAGGTGGACTGTGTGCTCGTTTGTCAGCCTATTCTATAAAAAAAAAAAAAAAAAAAACTTATTTTGCGAATGCCTGCTCACAACTCAATTTTTTTTTAATTCCTCCTTTTGTGTCAAAGCAATTAAATTACGGGAACTCGCTTCCTTTAACAATTAAGAAAGCCCAAAGCACTGAGTCTTTCAAAAAACTGGTTAAAAATTGTTATTTAAATGTGTTCTACTTAATATATTTCATTCTCATGTCTACTATACTTGATAAGGTTTGTGTATATATGGTATGTATATAATGTCTAGCTATAATATGTTACAAAAATATGTACATATATATATATATGTTATGTGTTATGTATATTTTTTATGCACACTTCCATATTTTTATATGTAAAAGATCTCCTTCACCAAGGTTTGCCTGGAAGAAATCGCTGTTTAGTGATAAGGCCACCTAATTGTACATAAATGTATCCATTTAAGTTTGTTATTCTTTGTATTATTTTGTGTGCAATAAAGGGTATTAAGAGTATTGTATTTTACGTGGTGAAGTGCCGATTCTGTCGATTTACCTAAACTGTAGGTCGTGTTGTGTAGCGGTAAGTTCATTAGCACCGATCCCTCTAATTCCCTTTCACACATCCTCTCTGTCTTCTTTGGGAGAGAGGATGTGAGGGTCTGTAGGATCGAAGTTAGGATGACACTAGTCGGAACTGCACCGCAGCAAGCGAAATGAGCGACACGAGTTGGTCAGTTGATCAACTTTGCCGCGCAGTTCTGCTGCAGTGTAGTTCCGTTGCCGCTTAGTGCGTGTTGTCTCATATAATTTCATATAAAGAATACTTTGATGTTGCCTCTGGTGTTATTTGTCTATGTTATATACTTTCAAATTTGTTTCCCCCCAAACTTGTTATTAATTAAGCGTTAAGAATCCCCATACTACTCGCAGGGAAGGACTCATTATTTATGTGTAATCACTGGAAACACGCAATGGTTGTATAGGTACTTTTGTTTTAAGAAACGCGTGACGAGATGTGTCGTAATCTTCTGAACGCTGCCTAGCCGAGTTGGATCTGTTGATTGACCTCTGAGTCAAAGTTCGACGTCATGAACAACTTCGAGTATAGTGTCCTCAAAAACACCAAGCATATAACATCTAATCAAGGACGTTACATGACATGATCTTGTCATATTCTTTTTTAGATTTATGACATGGTAGAGCCACGCTGCAGCTATAATATCGTTGTGGAACAAATAGGTCGGCTCGACCGGGGAAAGACCACGCTCTCACTGTATACCAACGTAAAATAGCAGCTTAATGCTGCTGTATTTCGAATGGTGCGTGTAGAGAACCGGAGACCCTTTCTTTACTAGAATCGAGGTATTCCATTTTAGGCCTCAGGGGTGACAACGCATTTGCGTTTTGATTCTTAATCGAGAATAAATGTAGATGTCTTTGAGCCACAGTATTCACTTACCAGCAGGTGGAATATGTGCTCGTTTGTTACCCTTTATTCTTTTTAAAAAATACTATTCTCCGGTAGATACTACTTTTTAGCTTTGATTATTAATCTGCTACCGTCTCATTACCAGTCCAGTAGCTCGAAAATGTCTTTTAAATTTCTAAAACGTCTTGAAAACGTCTTTTAACGTCTCTGCAATTGGATTGTTTCGTACTGTAATTTTGTACTCGAATAGGCATTGTAGCCTTACTGTTCAAACACCTCGGTACTTCTATATACCGACAAGCACCGCCGAGGGGACTAACAGTACCACCCAAATTTCTGTCTTTTGTATAATTTACCGAAAGGTATGCATATAGTGTGAGCCGTGATAGCTCAGCCCACCGTAAATTTCAAAGTACACGAATAACCCGGCTTCAAATCTGACAAATGAAATCATTAATGCTCCGATTTATTACGTATTGATTTTAAGAATCTAATTGTCTAAGGACAACATGCAGGTTATGTTTGAGAAATCGAAAAATATTTCGAAGCTTTGAAATCGGCCGACACGCATTGGGCCAGTGCGGCGGAGACCTCTTTGCCTTTTAAACCTCTTGAAGCCTCTCAGAAATGAAAGAAGACCTGTGCGCAGCAGTGGGAAATATAAAGACTGCAAATTTACTTTACTTTTATGTATACGCTACTAAAACTTTTTCGTAAACTGACTACCGAGGGCTCGAAGTTGTCAAGTGTACTACTCTACGAATAATAATTCTATGCAAAAATACTGACATGAATGATTACTGTTTCAGTATAGTATTTTGTTAATGTGTATAATTTTCATGTCAAATTTTTAATAAATACAGAGTAACGGCTTATTGTACAAATTAATATTTTTATTTTTAGGACAGTAACTTAACTTGGTACACAGATAACCCAGAATTCACGCCGTGCTTTGAAAAAACTGTTCTGGTTTGGACACCATGTATATATCTGTGGGTAGCGGCGCTACTGGAAACCTATTATATTTTAAACAGCAAAGAGCGAAACATACCATGGAATATACTAAATATCAGCAAATTAGTTGTAACATGTCTTCTGATTATCCTAAAATTTGTCGATTTGGGTGTGACTGTTCACAAATCTTCAAAAGAAGAGGAAGTGTTCAACGCTGATTATTACAACCCTATCATAAAGATTCTGACATTTGTAAGTTGCATTGGTTTTCCATTATGTATTATCTTATATATAGAACAGTCAAAAGATATTTGTTTAATATAATATGTACATTATATTTGCAAGTTATCTACAACTCGTTATTTGTTGTTTGTTTTGTTAATCAGTAATGTGTGCTGAACACATTTTGCCTTGTTCTCTCTTTAAATGAAATAAATAATGATTTAATTTGTCAAGAAATAATTACAACTAGTGATAGTCAAGATTTAAGTAACTCTTCCACGTTGTTTACCTTGCTGCCATTTAGATTTCATCACTGCTCACGTAATCTAAAGCTACTCATAAAAAACGTTTACTGAGAATAAGGCATCATTAACAGAAATGATACATTATTAACTTTGTCCATCAAGAGGTTTTTTATATTTATTTGAATGCAGACTTTAACGGATCTCATAGATGTTGTTGACCTTCAAACCAGTATCATAAAATACAAGTTTGGTTTCTATCTAAAATTTACCATAAGTATCACAACTAGTAAACTTGTACTTTATGTTTGATATCTCTACTAACTTTTAATTATAATAAATTAAAATATTATTATTATAACATTTACTCATTTTTCTCTGTTCACATATATTTAATGATAACAATATCATTACGAAATCAATATTTGAAAGTACTTTATTTGACAAAAAAAATTTTTGACAGCGTATAATTTATTTTTGAAATCATTATTTTTGAGTCGTATATTTTTAGTAGCTTATTGATACAGCAAATAAAATAATTTTAATACAGCGATAACAATATCTGGATATAAATTAATTATCCACAATAACATCTACTATTGTACATTGGTTTCAGGGATTATCAGCTACGTTATTATATTATAACAGAAAGTTTGGAATGAGAGCATCAGGTGTTTTATTCTTTTTCTGGTTACTTTTAATCCTGGCTGGGTTACCCCAGCTTAGGTCGGAAGTAATGGCACATTACAAATTAGCAGAAGATGAAAATGTCCAATATAATTTTGTCAGTTACATGATATACTACCCTATGATTATTTTGATGTTTGTGTTGAACTGTTTTGCTGACCTGCCACCTAGAGATACACCCTACAAATATGAAAAGGTAAAATATCTCCTTGTAAAATATGGTACACTGGTAGGTAAGTAATTCCTTATATTTTTTAGTGTAACAGAAACGTCTGCTATCGTAAGTATAAATTAAAAAAAATGTCTTTAATAATTAGATTAAAAAGTAAATAATAGCCTACATATTAAACTTCTCAGACGTGCAAGTGTCTTCCCGATGTTTTGCTTTACCGCCAAGCTCATGCAGAATCAGCGCTTAAAATTATAATAATTGATAATTTCGCTAGTGCTGGCGGGATTGAACTCTAGGAGTAGGAAGATGAAAAAACATTCATTTTATCAAAAATATCCTATAGTCTATGGGTCGTATATGTATAACAGATATTTTATTTATGAATTCTTATTGACTCATCTGCCTGTTGTAAATATATATGACATTTATTTTTTTATTCGCTAGAATCAATGCCCAGAAAGGGCCTCAGGATTCCCGAGTCGTCTAACTTTCAGTTGGTTCGATCCTCTCGCCCTGACTGGATTCCGTCGAAGTTTAACGGAGTCTGACCTATGGGCACTTAACCCGCCGGACTCATCTAAAGAAGTCGTTCCCAAATTTGACAAATTCTGGGAAAGAACTCTTCAGAAGAGGGAAGTGTATGTACAAATATTATAACTGTCGCATTTTTTATATTTATATGACGAGTTTTAAATTTTATTAATGTTTTTTCATTACCTAGCTCGAATGGTGCAAAAGCTACTTACACCAAAACATCTGCAAGCGTTAATTTTAAACCGGAAAATGAGAAAAAGCCCGCGTCAATCTTGCCTGCACTTTGTCTGACTTTCGGCGGACAGTTTTTCTTCGGTGCCATTCTCAAGCTCTTCAATGATACTCTAATGTTCCTGTCGCCTCAGCTGCTTAAGTGAGTTGGTAGTAGGTTCTTAAATATTTGGAAAATTTAGTTATGTAAAATCTTATAATTATATTACACTAAACAGTTCTCATAAATGTCTAACGGTAACTAAGATGTATCATTTAAATATAATAAATATTGACATGCGACCATTTTCGATTTTATTTGATAAAATTATTGTTACATACGTAACCATAAAACGTATTATATTATGTTAAATTTGATTCTAGATATGTATACATGTTGAATAGTCAAGTCAAATATTAAAATATTTATTTGCTAAACATGATAACTAAAACTTAATTTGTTCGTTTGGAATTTTCGAGTTATTTTCGACTAGAGGTAGTAAAAACTACCGCACTAAAATATCGCACAAAAATATCATTTAATTTCATCTGAGCGCCATAGCTACCTCGCATTTATAGCATGGAATACTATAATACACAATAGAATGGCTGTCAACCTTATTTTATACGACGATAGGCGTCGCCGGGAGCACACATACAAGCAATAACGTCGTATTATCACTACTACAAACCCGATTCGCTGTGTTGACAGACAGATTTTAATACATATTTATTTGTAAATAGCGTGCAATTTGGTATTTTCTAAATAATTTGCATGGAATATTTGGAAACAATTGTAACGTCAAAAAACACATCTCGTATTGACGTTTATACGTGTGAATTGACTTGTTAGTGGCTACACGGGCTCCGCCTACTCTCCCGTTCTATTATGTATGTATTATAGTATTCTATGATTTATAGAATTCGCTTTACAAAATTCGTCTGCATCTTATGTACTTAAATCTGCAATTTGTAGATGTAAACTTTCAAACCAATCTGCTAAACGCTCAGCCAAATGGATGCTCAAAAGCGGGGTTCTGTTGTAATTGTAAACCATATTCTAAGATTTCTATATACAATTTTCTGCATATCTGATCATATATAAACCTTTATTAAAAGTAATTATTATGCAATGTAAATTATACCTTTTAGGCTTCTAATAGGATTTGTCGAGGGCAAAGAGCCGGTGTGGAAGGGCTACGTGTATGCCGTGGGGTTGTTTGGTTGTGCCACGGTGCAAACGATGTTACTAGCGCATTATTTTACGAGAATGTACTTCGTGGGTATGAGAATAAGGACCGCCCTTACTAGCGCCATCTATAGAAAGTCATTAAGAATGTCTAACGCAGCTAGAAAGGAGTCCACTGTCGGAGAAATCGTAAACTTGATGTCGGTTGATGCACAAAGGTAGGGATGAACTTAATCCATAACTATATATTTATATACATACGGATAACTATCAATTATCTATATGTACACCACCGTAAACCTTTTAATAGATAAGGTCTGCATATTTTAGCACATTAAATATGCAGACCTTATCTATTAAAAGGTTTAAAAAGTAAATATTGTTTAGTAAGGGTGACTATACTACTAAAGAGTTATGTAGTATATGATTAGATAACAACCCTTGGGAATAAGGTGATCGCTACCATCTTGTTTCTAAATGTTTTCATAACAATTGTATAAAATATTATACGGCAAATTATGCTTTTAAAAAAAGTCCCGCTGAGTTTCTTGCTTGTTCTTGCAGGACAGTTCTTTTCCGAACCAGTTGTAAAAGTAAAAAAATGATTCAATAAATTTACATGTAATCTTTATCGATGAAAAAATATAGTATTCTATTCTATGCTATAAAACGATGTCTTAAATATTAATAACGATAACTTTACAGGTTTTTAGAATTAACGGCGTACTTAAATATGATATGGTCGGCTCCTCTTCAAATTTCTCTGGCTCTGTACTTCTTATGGGGCATTTTGGGCCCCTCTGTACTGGCTGGGTTAGCTGTAATGATAGTACTTATACCGGTTAACGGTTTAATCGCGAACAGGGTAAAAACTCTACAAATAAGACAAATGAAGTACAAAGACGAAAGAGTGAAGTTGATGAACGAAGTACTTAATGGAATTAAGGTAAGTTGACACTAAATGTTAAAAAATAACACTAGGTAACTGAAAAATCACTGATTTGATAAAGGCTTTGGATAAGACAATATTTTTCTTTATAATTTATTCTCAAGGTTTTGTTTCTTATCTCGTTCGAGATAGTTATCGGTGCTATTGATATCTTACCGTAACAATCCGGAAATGGAAAGCATCCTACTGTAGAGTTACGTGGATAACATAAATGTTGTGAAATCAAACGTCTATTGCGTAACAATTTCCCTTATATGTAAAAATTTCCATCCATCGTAACCAACTGACATAATATTAAGACAAAATTAATGGGCTCTGTTGCTATGTATAAATATTAAAGCAATTTAACATAAAGTACTTTCAAAGCAATAAAAGCGTGCCTTTAAATTGTTTTAGACTTAGATGCTGGGCTGAATTATGGTAGGATAAAAGAAAGGTGGCATAAGACAATATACGAGTATTATCTTATGCGCTCCGTGAACTCACTATTTTTTTCATTCGCCCCTCGGGTGTGGTAAAAGTTGACTCAGTGGAATGTCTCATAGTCCTCGGCGCTATTGATAGATGATAGCGAAAGGTCCGATACGTCTGGTACTGTATTTTTTTTTTATAGAATTAAGGGTGACAAACGAGCACAGAGTCCACCTGATGGTAAGTGGATGCTGTGGCCCATAGACATCTATATTTATCCTCGATTAAGAATCAAAACGCAAATGCGTTGTCACCCCTGAGGACTATGATGGAATGCCTTGTTTCCAGAAAAAAGGGTCTCCGGATCTCTACACTCACAATACGTAACACAGAAGCATTAAACTGCTATTTTACGCTGGTATTCTGTGAGAGCGTGGTCCTTCTCGGTCGAGCCGAACCATTCGTGCTACAACCATAATATAGCTGCAGCGTGGCCCCACCACATATAAATCTCTAATCTACTTGCCATGCCTAGCAAATAAAACAAATTCACCCTACTACGAGCGATGTTATGGACGCCACACACGGTCAGTTCAACTGATCAGTCCAACTGATTCAGTTCAGTTCAAATTATAAAACTGTTGATATTTTTTAAAATATTGAATTTTCGATATATCGATAATAATAAATATTATATCAATATCAGAGTTTTATATACTCGTATGTTTATTTATCAATATATCAAAAATCCAATATTTAAAAAAATATCAACAGTTTTAGTTTGAACTGACCAGTTGAACTGACCGTGTGTGGTCACCATAAGGCTAATTACGATGAATAGCTAAAGTAATTTATTTTTAATAAATATGAATGAATACGATATATAGGTATACAGGTATAAAAATATGATATACAGACATAAAAATAGTTCCAATTATTTTTATAAATTGTATTTTTTGACGTAATAATGTAAATATTTTTAACTTAAGGTTCTCAAAATGTATGCATGGGAACCGAGTTTTGAGGACCAGATTCATAAAATAAGAAACAAAGAAATGATTGTGTTGAAGCAGACTGCATATTTGAATTCAGCGACATCTTTCATTTGGTCATGTGCACCATTCTTGGTAAGTGCAGTTACATAAAAAATGTATTTCATGGCTAAGTATAGTGTAGATTCTAACACTCCAGTATTTGTTGTTCGCAAAAGGGTTTAAAAAATATGTGGCGTAATCTTTATTAAATATAAACAGTATTTTCATGATTGATAAGCATGTAGCTGATTTTTGATATTTCGTTGTTGAATTGATTAGTAATGATATTGATTGATCATCATAAATAATATATTAAATAAGTGACATAAATTGTGCAATACATTGTCATCGTCGTTTAGATAATTTTGTTTAAATTAATGCTTAAGTGTTTTTTTTCATTCAGTCATTCTACCTTATCCGGTAACATGCTTCTGATACAATTAGATTAGATGTATGTCTGTTCACATCCGGAGGTGCACTTATTATTTTGTTTTTATGTGCTTATTAAATACATGTTCTTCTGTTATAAGAATACAATAAAATACTTTAATTATTGTAATAAAATACGAATATAATTAATAAGTACTAGTTAGGTAGCAAAGAACCTTTCACTATAGCACTTCGTTCTAAAATGCCAAATTTTCCTGCGGGTGTACTTACGCCGCACGTGCCGACCTGTGATATCGCGGCGGCGCCTTTGACAAGATTCGGCACAAAGACGTATCTAAGCGAACAACAGACTATATTATATTTGTTATTCGTGTGTGAATAATAACACGAAGTTAGTGATATAAATTCAATGTTAAAAAAAATCACACATGGAACATGGAACACAACATCCTCAGAAAGTATCTCTAACATTCTCTTTGATGAGAAAATACAAATGGTTCTTGTCTAAAATTAAAGAAAAACACCTCGGAGGACAGTAAAAAAAGTAAAGTTACAGCCTATATACGTCCCACTGCTGGGCACAGGCCTCCCCTCATTTCTGAGAGGGTTTCAGGGCAAGGAAGTGTCCGCCGCGCTGCCCGAATGCGTGTTGGCGAACTTCACATGTCTTCGAAATATTTTTTTTCTTATTCCTCAGACATGCATGTTTCCTCACGATGTTTTCCTTCACCGCCGAGCACGTGGTAAATCAGCACTTAAAATTGCAATTAACAATTTCATTGGTGCCGGCGGGGATCGAACCCGGGTTACTCGCGTTCTGTTATATTTACAGCGAGCGTTAACCATCTGAGCTACCACGGCTCTTAAGCACCTCGCAGGACAGTATTATTTACATTTTACTTTTAGTTACCATCACTTTGTGATCACTTACTATAAAGTGACCCGTGTGCTCGTTTGCCTTTTCTTATTTAAAAATAAATAGTTGATTGTGAAATGTTTAAAGTGAAACGCTTCCAAGACCCTGCTATCTGGGCTAGCGGTTAAAAAAACTCACTCGTAGATTTGTCCGTTGCAAGATATCAAATCAAATTTTTCTACTATCTGCAATTACCTATTGTAGCAAGAATATTATCAAAGTGGACCAAGGCCAATCGTTTCATTTGACTAGATCGAAGTGATTGAGTGTTGTTTGTGTATCGGAACCTCGTGTAATCGTTTTAAATACTATTATTAAAAGTAATTTTATTAGTTCCAGGTTGCCATACCCTGGGTTTACATTGTCATCGCTGAATGATCAAGTGTATGAATGTTTGTGTACTAAATATATGATAAATGATAATGCATAATAAGCCTGTCATTGCATATTTATTTAAGTTATTAATGTATGGTAACACTGAACGTTTCATGGCAATTAATTTAAATTTAATTTAATATAATAATAATTTTAGCGTTTCGTCTGGTGAGTGCAGGTGGCCGGAGGCCCAAATCCCCCCCCCCCCCGATTTTCAATTCAAATGTTTAATTCAACATGGTAGCGGAATTAAATGATAGACTACCCCAGGAGGGTACCAGCACCCCTGGAGAATCCCTCGCTGAGCATCCACGACCATGTCTCTCCACTCCTGAGCGTGGGTGCTCCGCTCAAGACTATAACGCTCGGGGCAAACGGAGCAACAAGACCAAGGCGACCCCTGCCACGCTGTCCGTGAATTTCTGCAATATCAGGGGACTTCACTCTGACCTAAACGCCCTCCACTACCATCTCGAGACGGCGAGGCCGGCTCTGCTCTTTCTGACCGAGACGCAGGTGTCCTCTCCGGCTGATGTCTCGTATCTCTCCTACCCGGTGTACAAACTGGAACACTCCTTTGTGCCTCGGGCTGGAGTTTGCGTTTACGTCAGAGAGGACATCTGTTCGCTACGCCTCGGCAGTCTTGAAGGTTCGAACCAGTCTATCCTTTGGCTACGCGCAGACAGCGACTACCATCCGCGCGTCTACGGGTGCCTCTATAGGTCCCATAGCGGTAATGCCGAAACAGACCGACTCTTCGACCACGTCCAAATGGCTACAGATTCGTTGCTACGGCAGATCCCCCCGCAGAGATCGTGATCCTCGGCGACTTTAACGCCCATCACGCCCGATGGCTTGGTTCACGTTTGACCGATCATGCGGGGAGATCTGTTCATGATTTTGCCTTGGCATATGATCTGACACAACTGGTTACTTCGCCTACGCGGATTCCAGATGTGGAGGATCATGCACCTTCCCTGTTGGACCTTCTGCTGACCTCTCATCCGGATGGATATCAGATTTCCGTCGACGCCCCTTTAGGCTCCTCGGACCATTGTCTTGTCCGGAGTGTGGTGCCACTCACGCTGAAATCGCAGTTGCATTCTGCAGGCTGCCGCTGTGTTTGGCACTATGGGTCAGCCGATTGGGATGGGATGCGGTCTTTCTTTGCATCCTACTCTTGGGGGCGGGTTTGCTTCTCGCCGGACGATCCCAACGTTGTTGCGGATTCTGTCGCTGATGTGGTACATCAGGGTATGGAACTTTTTATTCCTCCCTCTGTGGTGCCCAGTGGAGACAAATCTCAGCCATGGTTTGGTCGCTCCTGTAAAATAGCATTATGCTATAAGCAGGAGTGCTACCAAGCCTGGGCTGACGCATCAACGTCCCTGGATGTAAACACCAGCGCTCTAAAAAAGAAGTATAATTCCGCCTCTAGGTCCTTCAAAAGAGTCATTGCCAAGGCAAAGTCAGAGCACATAGGCAGAATTGGCGACAAACTAGTTCGCCTTCCTTCTGGAACCCGTGCATTCTGGTCTCTCGCCAAGGCTGTCCAGGGGAATTTCTGTCAGCCATCTCTTCCATCTCTGCACAGGGAGGACGACTCACTGGCCCTTACCGCAAAGGAGAAAGCCGATCTGCTCTTTCTATGCGTCCAACTCGACTCTCGATGACGGGGGAAGTACACCGCCGACCATCCCGCGGTGTGAGTGCTCCATGCCGGAAGTGCAGTTCACACAGCGCTCGGTTCGCAAAGCACTCCTCTCCCTGGACATCCACAAGTCGAGTGGACCTGACGGAATCGGTCCAAGTGTGGTGAAGACGTGTGCTCCAGAGTTGGCACCGGTTTTAACGCGTCTTTTCCGGTACTCCTACTCTCTAGGCGTAGTCCCGAAATCATGGAAGACGGCTTTCGTCCACCCGATCCCTAAAAAAGGCGACCGCTCAGACCCGTCCAACTACCGGCCTATCGCCATCACCTCCTTTTTCTCCAAAACAATGGAGTCTATTGTTAACTGCTAGCTCATGAGGTACCTTGAGGATCACCAGCTGATTAGTTATCGCCGATACGGTTTTCGCCGTGGTCGGTCAGCTGGTGACCTTCTGGTCTACCCTAACTCACAGATGGGCGGAGGCAGTAGAGTACCAGCTCCTTCCACTTGACCGCATCCAGCGCAGAGCGGCTCGAATTGTCGACGACCGAGTGCTTTCCGATCGGCTCGATTCACTGGCGCTGCAAAGAGATATTGCATCTCTTTGCATTTTCTTTCGCATATACCATGGGGAGTGCTCTGAGAAATTGTTCGGATTAATCCCAGCCGCCAAATTTCGTGAACGCACTACGCGGCAAACGTCCCGATACCATCCACACCATCTGGATGCTGGCGGTCAACCACTGTACGTTTCAAAAAGAGTTTTCTTCCGCGTACGACCTCTCTGTGGAATAGTTTACCACCGGCGATTTTTCCGGACCGATACGACCTGGGGACCTTCAAGAAAAGAGCTTACTCCATTCTAAAGGGCCGGCAACGCACCTGCAATACCCCTGGTGTTGCGGTTGATCATGGGCGGCGGTAGTCACTTAACATCAGGTGAGCCGCATGCTCGTTTGCCCCCTCTTCTATAAAAAAAAATTAAATATAAGTCTATTGATTTAATTTTACGTATGGTATTCAATGAGAATATGATTAATTTAAATATGATTAATAATTTCAAGAGCAATTACCATACATAATAATGATGGATGTCTACCGAAAAAAATTGTTTGATTTTAAATATGAAATGTAAAATAATTTATAAAAAAATTGCTTAAAATCTTCTTGACTCAATCAATTTTATAAATAAACTATATAAGTGGCGATAGTTACATATGTGTTTCTAATTAGTATCGATTTAATAATAATCAAAATTATAAGTACACTTAACGTAATCTCTGAAACAAAAATTTCCATAAACACATAACATAAAATTTCAATACATTAGATTCGTGTCACATACACATTTTTTCTGTTCAAGGTGATCTTCCTTACATTCTTCACGTATGTGATATCAGACTCTGAGAACCACATCCTGAAACCGGACACGATTTTCGTGTCAATGTCTCTGTTTTACGTAATGCACGTGCCGTTAGGTCTACTGCCTCTCATCGTTGTGGCAGTGATTGAGGTAGTGCAGCCGCAAAATTTCTCACCTATCGCTAAGAGGCTGTGGTCCTGGCCTGACTAACATTCAACCAATCAGTATAGTGGTGGTTTTTAATCTACATCATTTAGAAATATCATTCGAGGTGTAAGGTTGAATATTTACGAGCATCAGCGTGTACCGTTGGCCGTTTTGATCTGTTTTCGACACTTTGTAACTGCAACTACGTTAAGTTTTAGCTTTATTTCCAGTCGTTAGTAGAAATGTATTAGCGCTGTTTGAACCTTAAACCTTAAGATATCATATTCTTTGTGTTCATTAATTTTTAGCATAGTATAAAAATCGATTTAATTAACCGATAAATTAATAAAAATATCTTTCCGATACACGCCGCTATGTCAACTTGTAGCGGTAATACCAATAAACAACTATTTACTAAACACTTAAACACAACTCATGAAAAGTCACCGTATTTCACAAGTAATCTATATAATGTGAAAGATTACTTGCACCTTTTTGTTACGTACGGATATAACTTTTAAACAACAATAACTTTTAAACAAAATTTTCATGCATGTTTAAGCATGCTTCAAATGTCTTTAGTAATAAATATATTGCATTTATCGTAATATATCTGTAACGGCTAAAAGCCGAAGTGCGGATACACCTAGGTTTAGCCGTCTACTACTAGTTGCAGCCAATTGCGGTTGCTTAAACTTAAGTGCATCATTTATAATTTATAAGTTAGTCATATGTATGTCTGCGGTTTCGGGGTGGTCCTTGTGCCACCCCAACGGCACCTTAACCTACTTGATACGTATTTCCGAATTTTAATTTTTTTTACAGTGAACCTTAGTTTAACCAACCACAATCGGGTGCACCTAGAAGTAGCAGGTTAAACCTAGGTGTATCCGCAATTCGGCGTTCTCGTTCAATTCTCATTCAATTTAAAAAACATTCTTAGTTTAATTCAATTCGATTAAAATTTGTGGAAGGTGGTGTTCGATTTTTAAATTTGGGTCAATGTTCAGTTTTATTAGTGTAAACACTGCACATAACACTAAAATATCACATCAGTAGTTCAATTACAGCGAATATTTTGGAAAACAGTTGCAGTTACTAGTTGCGAAACCGTATTTTACTAACACTACATTCTAAAAATGTCATGTTTTCTGGAACGGTGTCGTAGGTGTCGCTGATGTCATTCGCGTGCTTTGTTTTGGTAAACGAAACAGAAGTACTGGACTCTAAGAGGGCTTTCGTTGCATTATCTCTTTTCAACATCCTGCGTTTTCCGCTATCCATGCTGCCTAACGTTATCTCGAATGTTGTACAAGTAAGTTTGTTAATTTTTTTAACTTTTCCTTCTATACTTGCATTAGTATGAAAACACATTGTAATTTATTCTATACCTATTTTAACAGTTTCTTGGTTTTAGATTAAACTATCTAGTTACTGTGTAATTTGCTATATATATCAAAAATAAACATTCGGTGAAGGTTTTTATAATTATCACGAGCATGTTCTTCTAATATAGATTTTCTGTACAGTTAAAGAAAATATATTTTTGCTGACGAAGACTCATCTATAAATTGCTTTGAGTCATCTAAGGCCTCGTCCGTATTTGATTATCCTACCGTATCTTAACTTTACCCAGTAACTACTTGTTTCTTAAGCATGGACGTCCATTTCAACCATACTGTATCGGCATAACATTCTTTCTATTATGCGATCGCTTCAAATTTTCTTCCGGTCCTTATATATTTTCCACGTATAAGCTTTTCTAGACGGCGTAGCGACGTATAGTATCTCCTTTATGATCAGAGAAAAACCAACGAAAGATGGAACGCGGCGAATCAAGCATCGTATCCCATCACCGTACGGTATCGAAATACGTCCATGCTACCGATCGCGATATTTGTATCAGATATGAGGTTTTGTGCGGAATGGCACGTATCGGATGCATCACGACAGCGTAACACTTCATCGCATATTTTTGCGTCCAAACTAGCGATCATGATACAGATGATAATATGTGGACTCAGTCTTACTAATGCTAATTTCTAAAATCTTAATATCGGAGCCATTAGTTCGCAATTTTAAAATTTAATGTACTTAATTAATTTCTTTAACTGTACATTAATTTTCATCATATAATAACGGTTGAGTAAAATTTATTTTAAAGGTAACTTCAATAATTATTTCTTCGCTTTTAGACATCCGTGGGCATCAAAAGATTGAACAAGTTCATGAATTGCGATGAACTTGACGTGAACTCCGTAGAGCACGATCCAAAAGAACGTAAGTATTTTAATAAATCCGCTTTATATATATTATTAATCAATTAATATTATTTTATCTTTAAATTATGTTTAGAATATTTTTATCATGCAAGGCATAATTTTGTAATTATACAGGTCAGGTAAAGAACGTAAATTCAATGAACAATAATTTTTTTTTAGTAAAATCTCAATTTTTCTACAATTCCTCAATTTTTGCCTGTCCTAAGCCAGGATGAAAATATGAAGGAAAAGTTACATCACAGGTTATGTGTACCTATTGTGTTTTTATTGGAATGTTATGTAGGTAGCTATCGCGGGCGGTGATCTTTACAGTGATTACGTCACTCGGGCGCATAGGGTATCCATGAATTTACGGAGGGTGTCGGACAGAAACTTTTTAAATTTTATGAAAGAAAATAGCGTTTTTTTTTAATTCATTGAATTTACTTAATTTTTTTAAGTGAAACCAAACGACTGGTTTCAAGGATAATGGTGTTTACACTGACACCCTGTATTATTTGCTCTTATTTGATTCGAGTAGGCACATTCGCCAATTATCAGGTAGTGCGTGAAGATTCAATCAAATTTTGGTTGATGTAGTTGTGAACCGTACCTTGTGGCGACTGTGCAAGAATATTTACTACCACGTATAGTTCCGTTAGTGCTATAAAAGGCGACAGAGAGAAACAAGTCTGGAGCAGCTGCAGTATCATTCTAATAACAACTAGAGAATTAAAAACTGCGGTCGCTAACGGGCGTGCCTATGGCATCTGCAGCTATCTTCGATCAACAATACCAACTAGATAACGGGTCACGTACAAAATCATAGCTAAATACTGTCCGCGTGAACATAAACTTAAACAGCTACATTTGTTTACTAAAGAAATGAGACAAAAAATTAAAATAGTTTTAAGTTCAACCTAATTACAACCATCGCATCTAGTAATAAAGTCACAAAAAAAGAACAAAACTGTGCAATACTCCTATCACTTGGAAATGAAAAGAAAAATTAAATAACATTTTGTGTGAAATCAACCTTAACATGTAACAAATAAAGTTCTTTTTCCCGTTATTGCCTTGCGAGCTATGTCATTTTGTTATGTTTCCGTTTTCTTCTTCGAATTTGGTCCAGGAAGTATTGAGTCGCGTTGAACACTAAAATAATTTATAATATGATCATAAGTTTAATTAAAATTATTTTTATGTTTTGGGCATTTATGATTGTTGGTACATACCTTCCACACTAGCCATTAAATATAATATAGTATGTAGTATATTGATTGCTGATTGCATTTAATTAACTAATTCAATATATATATATATATATATATATATATATTTTTATTTTAGTTTTTGTATGTATATAAATATGTTCGTAGTATGTATGTATCTATGTATAGTATATATATAAATATGTGTATTCTTTTTTATCACACCAATTTGCCCTACTCCTGTCATCTTCATGTAATCCTGTCTATTTATTGGTTGTCTGAAAGATATTGCTGTCAGCAATAAGATCGCCCATTGCATACTTTTAAAACGTGGTAGAGCCATGCTGCAATTATATTAGTAGTATAGTTGTAGCACTTATGGGTCGGCTCGACCGGGGAAGAAAGCTAGGAAAGCTAAAAAAAATCTAAGTATTGTGATTACACAAACAAAGACAAAAGTAGCAATTACCATTATTTAAAGTTTTACAAATCTACTTCATGCGTCTATGTTCTGTTTCACAAATGTTTGCGCGTGTATTGGTCAACATTGGTAAAACATTTGTATGGGTGGTTATGATCGGTAATTTTGTTTCAAATATGATATTATTTGTTAATTTAAAGCTTAAAATGTAACATATTATACGTGTAATTACCGAAAATAAGACACTCCGGCCGTTAAATTATTTTTCGGGCATTTTTTTTTTGCAACTTTTAAATACGCATTGCAGCATTGTGAAACGTGTTTATATTGGCTGTATTTCAAGTGAACTAAACGAAATAAGAGCTCACGTCTCATATGCGCTCTTATTTACTGAGATGGATTTCTTGCGCCGACCCGACATCATTAAATAACATTTAGTGTGAAATCAACCTTAAGTTTTAACAAATAAAGTTCTTTTTCCCGTTATTGCCTTGCGAGCTACACTCTCGCGTGCAAGAGCTCACGTCTCATGTGCGCTCTTATTTACTGAGATGGATTTCTTGCGCCGACCCGACATCTAGTTGGTATTGTTGATCGAATTCAGCTATGGCAAATATCACCTTCATCAGGCAATCTATGCTAAACAGAGGTCTCCCTCTGTTTAGCAGTAGACTTCGTTTATGAACCTACCCCTACAAATTGTTTGAGGTGTTTATTAAAACTTTGTACACGTAGTCGTCGTAAACGTAGACCCATTTTACTAAAAAACAGGCATGCCATCCTCGATAGGTTACAATGCATATTCATTTTGATTCCTAAACGAAGATAGCTGTAGACGTCTACAGACTTCAGCATCCGCTTACTATTAGGTGGACTGTGTGTTCGTTTGTCACCGTACTATAAAAAAGCTTATGACTTTTTTATTAGAAAGCCGGTAAACCGGTTGATGTCTTTTATCGTTCAACCAATAACACGCATATACTTATGTACACGAAAAATATTCACGCGATTAACAACGCACATAGAAATACAAATGCCCTGTTCAAAACTTTGTGCTCCTTGTAGAAAACATTGTTCGACTTACGTTTTTGGTGTCCCGTGCCAAAATTAAGAACAGGGAACACATGAAATCACATTGGTCATCGGCTTTTTTACCCAGATATTATACCATTTAGGCGATAAAAATAGCTATTCCCTACCGGATCTCGAATAGTAGTGCGGGGAAAAATGTGAAATAGTGAACGTTAGTTCCTTAGTAGATTATATACACTAAGAAAGTTAACAGAGTTTATTTTATGACTTTTTTAAAACATCGCGGAAATACGCTTTATGATTATTTAAATTTATATATATATATATATATATATATATATATATTTTAAATATATATATATATATATATATAATATATTTTTAATTATATATATAATTATAATTATATATAATTTTTTTTTAAATAATCATCGAGAATATCAAAAACAGATAGATTTTCGTGTCAATGACTCTGTTTTACGTTTCATGTGACGTTAGGTCTACTGCCTCTCATCGTTGTGGCACTGATTGAAAATATATATATAGCAGCAAAATTTCTCACCTATCGCTAAGAGGCTGTGGTCTGGCCTAACTAACATTCAACCAATCAGTATAGTGGTGGTTTTTAATCTACATCATTTAGAAATATCATTCGAGGTGTAAGGTTGAATATTTACGAGCATCAGCGTGTACCGTTGACAGTTTTGATCTGTTTTCGACACTTTGTAACTGCAACTACGTTATGTTTTAGCTTTATTTCCAGTCGTTAGTAGAAATGTATTAGCGCTGTTTGAACTTTAAACCTTAAGATATCATATTCTTTGTGTTCATTAATTTTTAGCATAGTATAAAAATCGATTTAGTTGATCGATAAATTAATAAAAATATCTTTCCGATACACGCCGCTATGTCAACTTGTAGCGGTAATACCAATAAACAACTATTTACTAAACACTTAAACACAACTTATGAAAAGGTAGTATAAAACTGTAGATTTCCCTCAAAGTATTTTGTTATCGCGCATTTCATAAGTAATCTATATATTGTGAAATATTACTTGCACCTTTTTGGTACCTATACCTTTTAAACAAGAAAACTCGCAAAATTTTCATGCATGTTTAGGCATGCTTCAAATGTCTTCAGTAATAAATACGAGGGGTGATCCAAAAGTAATGATAATCGGTTACTTCGGGTCCGCATAATAATCCAAAAAAAATATTTTTTGCTTGCTTATATACTCACTACGTCAGCCTAAAAAAATCATATAAATAGATCACGATTTCCGGGAGATACATTCATTTGAATACGAACTGTCAAAGAGATAACATCAACATGGAGAAAAACGAAATTAGAGCTATCATCAAGTACCTCTGTTTGAAAAAAATGTCTTCAAAAGACATACACAGTGACTTAGTGTAAACATTGGGGGACTCTGCTCCTCCATATTCTACAGTTGCACGCTGGGCCAAGGAGTTTAAAATGGGCAGAACATCCACTGAAGATGAACATTGCGAAGGACGCCCATCCACGTCCCTCACTGAAGACAACGTGAAAAAAATCGAAGATGTGTTGGCAGATCGAAGAGTGACCATCAGGCATGTAGCTGAGGTCACAGAGATCTTTTATGGCAGCGTTCAAAGAATCCTTGCGAACGAGTTGCATATGAAAAAGGTCTCTGCGCGTTGGGTACCCAGAATGTTAACCGACGAGCAAAAGAAAAATCGAGTTGACATTTCGAGGTTATGGCATCTGTTTTTTGGGACACTCAAGGCATAATTATGGTGGAATATTTGGAAAAAGGAGCCACTATTACGGGCTCTTACTACGCAGACCAAATAGGAAGATTACGGGAGGCCATTAAGGAAAAAAGACGCTTCAAACTGCGAGTTGGAGTGCTGTTTCACCAAGACAACGCACCGGCTCACAAAGCCGCAGTTGCGATGACTGCCGTTTAAGAAACGGGATTCGAACTGCTCGAACACCCTCCCTATTCGCCAGATCTAGCTCCTAGTGACTTCTACCTCTTTCCTCGGCTCAACGAACGCCTCCGAGGTAAGAAATTCGAAGACGATAGCGAAGTAATGGCCGCTGTTGAAGCGTTTTCGGAGGGTCAAGACAAATAATTTTTTTCAAAGGGAATCCTGGGACAAAAGAGGGACTAAATATGAATTGATTTGTTAGGAGACTACGTAGAAAAATAAATTATTATTCTAACTTTAATTACCCCTTTTTATTTTCATTACCATTACTTTTGGATCACCCCTCGTATATTGCATTTATCGTAATATATCTGTAACGGCTAAAAGCCGAAGTGCGGATACACCTAGGTTTAGTCGGCTACTACTAGGTGCAGCC